ATATATATATATATATAAATAATTAACAGGAAGACCCCACTCCTCCCTCATCCAACTCATTTAAGGTGTTGATGCATGTTATTATATAGTGCATTTAATAGGTAATATAAGGTAATATAGTCATCCAACTCATTACCAACACGTGTGTATAAAACCATAAAAGGCTTCCAATTTTTTTATTACACCTCCAGCATATGCCAGTATGTTGGACAAACTTTACATGCATTCTCTGAAATGTTTTGGTGTGATGGGGCCTTAAAACAAGGAACTTCCTGATCTATGTATTATTTGAACACTTGACTCTTCATTTCTCTCTGACAGTGACTCTCTGTGTCAGCTATTGTAGCTATGCTCTGTTCCCCTTTGTCATCACTTCCTGTTACTGACATGGCTTCCTGTAACTTTGCATGGGAACATGTCAACAACTGTTCATCTCAGCAGCATATTTGTTTTTCATTCATATTTATGAAAATTTGATGTCACAGGCTTTTTAAACTGAGATCATCTTGTGTTCACAAATAATTCAGATGATGTGCTGTGTGAGACTCTCAGCTATCACATCAAATTTCTGCTCAACATCTGTTAAAATAACTGACTTTTAGCCATTTTTGTTTTCAAGGTACAGTAGCCATGGCAGCCATTTTCAAATGGGTTGACTTTTATAAGAGTCATTAAACATCATCCTGAGTTTAATCATTTGATCACAGACAGAAACAGGGACACACAGCAGAAATCATTATTATTATTATCATTATTTATCATTTTATCTAAAGAGATCATTCAGCCTTTTCCAGGAGGGAATGTGTTGTAGTTTAATTGTTTGGACCTTCAGACAGCATCAGGATATTTTTTAATCTCCCCTCCTCTGACTGACTGTGGCGTCGTGTTGCAGATGGCAGTCCGCTGTCCTGGTGGCTGGATCGGGAAGGAGAGCGCAGGAGCTACTGGGGGGGCTTCCTGCCTGGAGTCCAGCAGTGCTCCTGCAGCCTGGAGGAGAACTGCATGGACATGAACTACTTCTGCAACTGCGATGCTGACAGAGACGCATGGTATGCAGCCCTGACACACACCAGGTTATTTCTATGACGTTCTCACAATTAGCAGAGTTATCCTAAGAAACATATATGGGAGAGTTTCAGACCTCCAGCATCAGGCTCAGCATGATTCTGGAGAAGAAACACCATCAGCAGCATGTCAGGGTGCAGGAGAAGGAGTTTTCTGTGCCGAACTTTGACCACATTCTTCCTGGTCCAGCTGCCTGACCCTGACACTGTACATAAATAGATCTTGAAGCAGTAACTGGAAGGTAAAGCATCCGGTTCCGGTACATGTTTTAAGTCCTCCCCCTCCAAGACATTATCCATGTAGCAAAATAGAAACACACCTCATAAAAATTTTCAGGAGTTGAATCTTGTTCATTCATTGTTGTTCTATCTTATCTTATCTTAGTTTTAAGATTGCTGCTGTAAAGTAAGCATTCATTATTGTAACTACTTTATCTGTAATTAACTATTTTAAACGTAAAATAAAAGCTCGTTTGACATCATGACATGATTTGGCGAGGCTTAAAGTCCCACATCCCCCCTGCATAGACTGTGGTTCATGACAGCTCATCTGTATATTCAGACTTCAGCTTTCTAAAACATACAGCGCAGCATTCAGCCTGATTCCAGGTCAGCTTCACTCTTAATTCACACCTTCATCTTGGGACTAAAACAGCTCTCTGTAAGCCAGGCTAACAAAGACCTGGTGACCCTCAGGATGGAGACAAAGACCCTGGTGACCCTCAGGATGGAGACAAAGACCCTGGTGACCCTCAGGATGGAGACAAAAATCCTGATGACCCTCAGGATGGAGACAAAGATCCTGATGACCCTCAGGATGAAGACAAAGACCCTGATGACCCTCAGGATGGAGACAAAGAGGCTGGTGACCCACAGGATGGACACAAAAACCCTGATGACCGTCAGGGTGGAGACAAAGATCCTGATGACCCTCAGGATGAAGACAAAGACCCTGATTACACTCAAGATGGAGGCAAAGACCCTGGTGACCCTAAGGATGGAGACAAAGACCCTGGTGACCCTCAGGATGGAGACAAAGACCCTAATGACCCTCAGGATGGAGACAAAGATCTTGATGACCCTCAGGATGAAGACAAAGACCCTGATGACACTTAGGATGGAGACAAAGACCCTAATGACCCTCAGGATGAAGACAAAGAGGCTGGTGACCCACAGGATGGACACAAAAACCCTGATGACCGTCAGGGTGGAGGCAAAGATCCCGATGACCCTCAGGATGTGATGACCTTCAAGATGGAGACAAAAATCCTGATGACCCTCAGGATGGAGACAAAGGCCCTGATGACCCTCAGGATGGATAAAAAGACCATGATTACACTCAGGATGGAGGCAAAGACACTGATGACCTTCAGGATGGAGACAAAGACGCTGATGACCCACAGGAGTGAGACAAAGACCCCGATGACCCTCAGGATGGAGAATAAGACCCTGATTACACTCAGGATGGAGGCAAAGACCCCGATGACCCTCACGGTGGAGACAAAGACCCTGATAACCCTCAGGATGGTGCCAAAGACCCTGATGACCCTCAAGGTGGAGACAAAGACCTCGATGACCCTCACGATGGAGACAAAGACCCTGATGACCCTCAGGATAGTGTCAAAGATCCTGTTGATCCTCAGGATGGAGACAAAGACCCTAATGACCCTTTGGATGGAGACCATGACCCCAAAACTCACTGGCAGGAAGGAATCGACCTTGAAGAAGTTACAAGCTCAGTCCGACGGTGCTGAACACAAAATTTGTCACTTTGGAGTCACCACTGAGATGTACCAGAAGAACTATGAAGGCAGACAGAAATCAAGCAGTCGGCCCGACCCAAAATAATTTTTGTTATTTGAATCTAGCTCCCCCGCTGGGCCTTGAATTGGCCAACTATACCAAACTTTCCTGATTGTTAACAACAAAGTCCATGCTCAATAATCCAGGATTACAATCCAACATTTTTCTGTCAGGTCATCTGGACAGTTTCTTTTTTTTCTGCTGAAACGTTTCACCTTCCACCCAGAAGGCTTCATCAGTCAAGGAAACACACAACAAAACTGATTTTTTCCCCCAACAGCTTACTCCAAAGTGGAACAAACCAGTTCTGCTTGTGATAAGATGGTCTCTTTGGTATGCCCCCTCCTCCTTTGTCGGCCCTCTTCCTTGTTGACAGTCTTGTCAAACTGGTTGAAAACAGTGAATCTCCTGAATGTTATGTGAACAAGAGGCTCTGCTTCCCCCTCCCCTACCTTCTCCCTTCCCGAGGACATCTGTGACCCTGAGTCAGAGCTGATCAGGCTGATAGACAAAGCACCATCTCTTATCAGGACTATGGAACTATCTGGCAATGGACACCGATAGCTTTCTGCCCTTGTTGACCTCCTCACACACACAAATGTATTATGATGTCATCAGTATGTTGCTGTTTCTGTGTTGAGGTCTATTTTTGCAACCTTCACACTGTGACCCATCTAGGATACAGTGCGAGATATGATTTTTTTAATACCTCTCCTCCCGTTGTGTTTCTCTTTTTCTTATCCAAACAACAAGGACAGAGCATCCCGAAAGCTGCTGCCTCAGACACCTCTGTCTCCCCATGTTTGTTTATGTTTTCTCAGATGGGCTGTACTGAAATGTCATTTTGCTGTGCTTCGGTGCAATGACAATAAAGCTGATTCTGATTCTGGTGTAGGCTAACTTCTGAGCTACCATCTGAGCTAAGACCTGAGATAAACACTGAGCTAACATCTGCGCTAATGTTTAGCTAACATCAATTCAATTTTTGATTAAATTCAATTCATTTTATTCATGTAGCGCCAAGTTACAACAGAAGCCATCTCAGGGCACTGAACAGAAACATCCATCCATTATCTTTACCCGCTTATTCCATTTTGGGTCACGGGGGTCGCCGGTGCCCATGTCCAGCAATCACTGTGCGAGGGGTGGGGGACACCCTGGACGGGTCGCAAGTCCATCACAGGGACACATAGAGACAAACGAGACAAACAATCATTCACTCTCTCACTCACACCTAGGGACAATTTAGAGTTACCAATCAGCCTAACATGCATGTTTTTGGTCTGTGGGAGGAAACCGGAGTACCCGGAGAAAACCCACGCATGCACAGAGAGAACATGCAAACTCCACCCAGAAAGGCCCCTGGACCGGGGTTTGAACCAAGGACCTGCTCGCTGAGAGGCAGCAGCTCTACCAGTTGCGCCACCGTGCTGCCCTGAACAGAAACATTCATATATAAAAATAATAATTTACGACTTCATCTGAGGAGCAGACTGCTTTGAATTTAACTCCATCACAGAACTCTCATCTTCAGATTCAGATATTCTTTATTTGTCATTCCACCATCAATCAACCTTTATTTCTCCAGGTAAATCCCATTGAGCCTCGAGGACTCATTTACAAGAGAGACCTGATTTCAACAAAGAAAGATGACAACAATGGACAACAGCAACAACAATAAACAGTTATAAAAAAAAGCATACTACAGTTTTTTTTTTGTTTTTTTTTTAACAAACACCATATGTGGTACATGTGGTGGAGCAAAATTATGTACACAGGGTCCCAGTTATTGTACATCCAACAATAAAATGTAAAAGAAAAACAGTAATAAGATCTGAGATATGAACTACGAAAAACATCAACTAAATTTACACTAAGCACTAATAACATAAAAACATTACGCTGAACAGCAGCACGAACATGAGTCTGTGTGAACAGATGAGCATGCATGAACACATCAACATGAAACAGATCAGTAGCAACATGAAACAGCCTCAGGGTAGAACCCTGGAGGAACACCTAATGTCATAAAGAACCTTCTGAGGATTCAACACAAAATGTTCTTTAATAGTCTCAAAATCGACATTTAGAAAATGTAATTAAATCAAAAATAATTAGCAGTTTACTCCTGGAAACAAGAATGAACACTGGGATGAATTTAAATGCAAATTATGGCTTATTTTAGCAAATATTCCTACACTTTACGTGAAAATGAGAAAAGAAAGCGTGTGGAGAGAAAAAAAAAATTACACTTGTCATGTTTAACCATGAACAGCTGCCCTGAAACACAAACCCCATTAATTAGACAGAGCCTCCTGCTGATTACTGATTTCTCTGATGAGGTGTTCCTCTCCGACATCAAAGAAGCTGCTAAACATTCAGCTTGTTTCCACGTCTCACCGTTCAGCCCTCACACGGGACAAGACGTGGATTCAACCTCTTCATTGAAACACAACTGTAGTGATGTAATCACTGTTTTCAGGTGAATGGAAAAATATATCTGATTTATCTGACGTCTTTGTTAATCTTTTCCCAGTGCAGTTTGCACATTTCCAGACTGCGTTGACGGATCACTCCTGTTCCACTGTTCTTTGATCGTTTGGTGATGCTGGAGAAAATGGAAGACTGTTTTCAGGACCCCAGCCCTGAAGGCTCCTCTGCTCTTTTTGTGACTGTTTTTTGTTATTGTCCCTCTCAGGACCAACGATACGGGACTCCTCTCCTACAAAGATCACCTCCCAGTGAGCCAGCTGGTGGTCGGAGACACCGACAGGATGGGCTCGGAGGCGCTCCACCACATCGGTCCTCTGCGTTGTTATGGAGACAGTAGGTGATCACCACAAGATACATTCATTTAGATTCAGTTTTTCACTAAGCTCCAATTCACAGCCACATTTATCTCAGAGCACTAAAAAAAACCAATACAGTCCAGTGCAAACATGATCCACATCCATTGTTTCTGGTTCTGGTACACAACCTCTGGGTTTTGACATTTCTATCAGCAACATCATGGGTCTGAGAAGGACCTTCAGTGGGCTGAAGAGCTGCTTTTAATCATCCCTGTCCACTCACAATGTGTGCGACTGTCAAACAGGAGATGGAAGACTTCCTGTCACAGGAAATCTTCAGAGATAAAATAATAATAATAAGCCCCATCTTAACGCCTGAAAACTTTGACAATAAGAAGTTTAGTTAAATTAATTATTGGAAATACTCCATTTATGTACAAAAGTTAAATCTGGTCCTCTGGACAGTCAAAAAAACAAAAACAAAGCAAAACAACCAAAAAAATGTAAGAACATTTTGTCTTTCATCCGAGAGACTTCCTCAGTCTGAGGAGCTGTATTCAGCTCAGTCTCTTAAATAGCACCTTCTCAGAGTGGATCAACCAGTTTGCTGCTGACAATCAGAACCAGCTGATCACATGCTCAAGAAGGACCATCAGCCTAACAATGGATCATTAGCACCTGATGGCTGTTTACTATTCACAGAGGGCTGAGTGATACTAGCAATCACAGCATTGTAAGAGGGGGACAGTTGAACCCGGAGGCCTCCACCCCTGTTTAATGATGGACGATTTCTTTTCACAAAGATGGCCTCCTTTACTCCTCTCTCAAACCATCGTTCCTCTCTGTCCAGGATGTGAACATCTTCATCCCTGAAAGCGTGACCGCTGGCCTGGAGATGAGCGTAGACCTCAGAGTCCTGGCCTGATGATGTTGATCTTCTGTGCTGGTCCATCCTTTTGGCCAGTGGCTGTTTAGTTTCCCCGATGTAAGACTGATCACCCTCCTGTCACTGAACAACATACACAATATTACTCTGTTTGTGCCGGGGGACTGGATCTTTGGGATGAACCAGTCTTTAATGTATTTTGGGGTTTAAAAGCCACTGGGACGTTATGTTTAGAAAATAAACGTCTCAGTTTCTCTGATACTCCCTCAACATACGGAATGACCACTGGTCTGGGTCTGGGTTCCTCCTTTTCACCTGATGCTGACTGGAGTCCTGTTTGGGTTTCTTATTTCAGGAAGGCCCAGTTAGGATATCCACATACCATACCATACCATACCATACCATACCAATTTATTTATATAGCACTTAAAACAGCAACAAGGCCAACCAAAGTGCTGTACAAAAGAACCAAACATGCACAGCAGACAGGAAAACATAAAATAGAAATACAGATACAAATAGCAGCAGAAGCTAACTAAAATGGCCAACAGTGTAGAGAACAGACCGGACCAAAACAAATCACACCGTGTTAAAGGCAAGCGAATAGAAGTGGGTCTTCAAGCGAGACTTAAAGACTGAGAGTGTGGGAGCCTGCCGGACACTCAGTGGCAACTCATTCCACAGTCGTGGACCTGCAACAGAGAAAGCCCTGTCACCTCTGAGCTTACGACGGGTTTCTGGGACTGAGAGAAGCATCTGGTCTGCTGACCTCAGAGAGCGCGGTGGGACATATGGCTGCAGAAGATCAGTGAGATAGGATGGGGCGGAACTGTTCAGTGATTTAAAAACATACATGAGAATTTTGAATTGGATCCGAAGGTGAATGGGTAGCCAGTGCAGGGAGGCCAAAACTGGCGTGATGTGCTCTCTATAGCCTGTACCAGTTAAAAATCGGGATGCAGCATTTTGGACCAGTTGTAGACGAGCAATGGAGGACTGACTGATTCCAAACAGAAGTGAATTGCAGTAATCAAGCCTAGATATCCTGATGCATGCTCAATCAAGCCTAGATGTTATGAAGGTGTGGATCACTGTCTCAAGGTTATTTTTGGAGAGTATAGGCTTCAGCTTAGACAGCCGTCTCAGCTGAAAAAAACAGGATTTGACCATCATGTTTACATGACTGTTGAGTTTTAAGGACGGGTCCATTATCACCCACAGATTAGTGACCTTTTGTTTCTCTAGCGGGGCTATAGAGAAAAGGTCAATGTCGTGGTTCATGAGTGAGCCACTGGGATGGAACAGCATGACTTCAGACTTCTTCTCATTGAAGCTTAAGAAGTTTAAAGCCATCCAGTCCCGGATGTCAGCCAGGCAGTCAAGAAGAGGCTGAATAGAGCGTGTGCCTCTGTGCCTCAGGGGGAAGTAAATTTGGCAATCATCGGCGTAGAAATGAAAGGGTATGTTGTGTTTGCGGAAAATCGCACCTAGTGGCAGCAGGTATAAAGAAAAGAGAAGGGGACTGAGGATGGACCCCTGCGGTACCCCCCACTGGAGCGCTGTCGATGCCGAACTAAAATATTTGATATTGACACAGAAGGTTCTGTCAGAGAGGTAGGACCCAAACCATTTAAGGGCTGACCCTGTGATGCCCACCCACTGCTCCAGTCTAGAAATGAGGATCTTGTGGTCGATGGTGTCAAAAGCAGATGTAAGGTCCAATAGGACAAGCAGCACAGAATCACCTGCGTCTGTGGATATGAAAATGTCGTTAAAATCCTTCAGTAGAGCAGTTTCAGTGCTATGGAGAGATTTGAAGCCAGATTAGAATAACTCTAGGATAGCGTGATCCCCCAAAAACTGTTTCAACTGAGACTACACAATTTTTTCCAGTAGTTTAGAGGTGAATGGGAGTCTGGAGACAGGCCGGAAGTTGGACATGACTGAGGGGTCAAGGTTAGGTTTTTTTCAGGAGGGGCTGGACAGCAGCATGTTTAAAAGTTTTTGGCACCATACCTGAGGATAAACTGCTATTCAGAATAGCGAGGATAAAAGGACCCAGGGTAGGAAAAACTTCCTTTAGTAGTCGAGGGAGGACCACATCAAAAGGGGAACCAGATGGCTTCATGCTGCACATTACCTGCTCCAGAGAGGACAGAGAGATGGGCTCAAAGTGGTCAAACACAGCCACACACTGAGAAGGGATGGACAGATCATGAGCTGGTGGAGAAATGAGTGCCCGGGTGTTTGCCACTTTTTCTAAAAAGAAATGGAGGAAGTTTTCACACAGCTCAGTTGAGGCTTCCAGAGGTGAAGGCTCACTGAGGTGTAGAACTGAGTTCAGGGTGGAGAAAAGAACTCGGGGGTTGTGGGATTTGGAGACAATTAAATCAGAGAAGAATTTACATTTGGCAGCTTTAACGGTTTTCTGATAGTGACGCCAACTCTCCCTTAACATTTGAAAAGAAACCTGCAGCCTGTCCTTCCTCCACCTTCGTTCAGCTCTGCGACACTGCTGCCTAACGACTCGAGTGACGTCATTCAGCCAAGGCTCTGATCTAAGTTTCGTTTTTCTGGTTTTAAGGGGAGCAACAGGGTCCAGAACATTTAAACAGGCAGAGTTGAACTGAGAGGTTAGCTCCTCAGTGGTAAGAGACACCGAGAGCTGTTCGATCCTCTCAGAGTTAAAACCTTCATTAAAACGAGCAGCAGTGAAACGGTTAATGGAACGCGTACGTGCAGGAACGCGCGTCTTAGCAGTATGACAAGGGGGGGGGGGGGGGTGAAGTCAAACAATACAGGCATGTGATCTGAAAAAACATTGTCACCGATTTTCAAATTAGAAACAGAGACATTGCGTGTTAAAACGAGGTCCAACGTGTGACCGTGTTCTTGGGTGGGACCGTTTACCTGCTGAGTTAAATTAAAACAGTCCAATAAATCTAGAAAGTCCTTCACTAAGGGCTTCTCCTGACAACACACATGCAAATTAAAGTCACAAATAAACAAAAAGTGAGTGTATCTCTATGTGATATCAGCCAAAAAGTCAGAGAATTCATTTATGAAGTCCTTGGATCGAGGGGGGCGGTAGACGAGTGCGCACAGAAGCGGAAGAGAGTGTCTGAGTTCAAAAACGCTCAGCTCAAAGCTGGCGCGGGACACCGGGACGGACAACTGTTTACAGGCCAAGTTTGCTTAAAAAACGATTAATAATCTCACCCCCCCCCCCCCCCCCCCCCATGCCGACCTGATGGCCGCGGGGCATTAAAACACAGACAGTCCGGGGGTAATAATTCCACCAAGGCGCTAGACTCACCATCAGAAATCCAGGATTCCGTGACGAACAGAAAATCCAACTCCTCATCTTTAAAAAAGTCATTGAGGATAAACGTCTTGTTGGAAACAGACCTTGCATTGATTAAACACATCCTGATATTGTCCAACGCAGACACAGCCGTGGAAGGAGAAGCGCGCGCCAGCGGGCGCAGGTTATGAAGAACAGCTCCTCCTGGTCTGCTGGTGCGGCGCACAGGTAAACAACTCCAGGTGTTTCCATGGACTGAGCGCGCGGGCAGCTGGCCAGCAGCCGGGCCGCGGGAGCACCACGGGTCAGAGAGGAGATGATCAGATCCAGAGCGAGTCCTGATAGAATAATCCACACTTTGCCTCAGTTTCACCAAAATCCCTGCACGCTTCCCACGACGTCTGCGACGTTTCCTCCATGGAGAAAGGCCAGGGTCACGCAGAAGGAATGCAGGAATCTCAGATAGGACCGGTGGAGGAGAGTGGTGGCCGCTGTTCAAAAACTCTGCGGGAATTTCAGCAAATGTACGGAGTTCCAAAAGTGCCCGACGATCATACTGAAAATATGACTCGGCACACTGCACCAATCATTGTAAAAATAACAAAAATACAATACAAGCAGAGAGCGAGAGACGGGCAGCCCTACACACCGGCGCCATCTTGGATTCCCCCCGCTCTAGAGCCTGTCTTGTGTAGGATTTCTCCTTCTGCCTGGCTCCTGAGCTAGTGGGGACGCTGTCTGCTCTGTGGTACAGAGTCCTGATGACTCCTAACTTGTGCTCCAAAGGGTGATGGGAGTCAAACTGCAAATACTGGTCTGTGTGGGTGGATTTGTGGTACACCTCGGTTTGCAAATGTCCTCTATCAGAGACTGAGACCTCACAGTCCAAGAAAGCCAACTTGCCATATTTTTCATCTTCTCGTGTGAACTTGATGTATTTATCCACAGAGTTGATGTGG